GTTCATGATACAAAAAAGAGAATAAATGGTTTTCACATAGCTGATGATGGGGTGTATTTGGGAGATAAGATGTTTTTTAACGGTAGTTTTGAAAATGGTGGTTGAGACTGCAGTTCAAGAGTTTTCAGGCAGGGAGTTCCCGATTTGAGGCTCTTTTATGTACATTGGCTTAGCCGGACACGAGGAATGTCATAGAAATTTTTTAGTCTGGTATTGTGTCTGTGGGCCCTGTTTCAACTATCAAGAAAGTGTTTTAGTTCAGGGTTAATATTAGAATTTATGGTTCTGTAAATGTAGGTTTTGTACAGTGAGTAAGTTTAGGTCTTTGAAGAATAGGGGGGGGGGTGTTGTCTAGTATTGGATTGCTTGATAATTCTTATTGCAGCTTTTTGTTGGGTTATTATTGGCTTTAGGTGGGTTGCTGCTGTTAATCCCCAGGCTTATATAGCATAAGTGAGGTAGGGATAGATGAATGAATAGTATAGTGTGAGTAGGGCTGATTGTGGTACATAGTAACGTATCTTGGAGAGGATCCCAACTGTTTTGGATACTTTTTTTTTTTGTTATGTATTGGATATGGGTGTTGAATTTCAGGTTGCTGTCAAGGTGCAGGCCCAGGGATTTGCCCTCATTATGTTTAGCAATAAGAGTGTTGTCAGTCATAATGTTCAGCTGGGCATCACCTGTTCTGCTCCCAAACATAATATAGTATGTGTTGTCAGTATTAAGTGTAAGTTTATTAGCAGGCATCCAGGTCAATATTTTTGCTAGCTCTTTGTTAACAATAGTGTTGAGTGAGGCAAGATTAGGGTGAGAAATGACATAAGTCGTGTCATCAGCAAAGAGAATAGGTATTGTGATACATTAGGAAGATCATTGATGTATAAGAGGGGACAAGGACACTTCTCTGTGGTACTCCAATATCCAGCAGTCTTGTTGATGAGGTTGTGTCCTTTTTAGAGACGTATTGATGCCTGTTAGTAAGATAGGATTTGAAATACGTACATGTAAGTGCGTGGACTCTTATAGTGTAATGATCAAGTTTGTGGAGTAGGATGCTGTGGTCTACTGTATCAAAAACTTTCTTTAGATCGATAAAGAGTCCTAATGGATAATCATTTTTTCAAGTGCTGTGTAAAGCAGGTCTAGCATTTTTACAATTCCATCATTTGTGCTTTTGCTTTTCCTGAAGCCAAATTAGCAGGGGTTGAGGATGCTTTGGACTGTTATAAAGGAATGTAATCTCTTGTGCATGAGTTTCTCAAAAATTTTGGATAGCAACGGTAAGTTTGGTATTGGCCTGTAGGTGTTTACATCTGTGGGGTCACCATCTTAGTGTGTTGATGTAACCCTTGCTATCTTGAGCAGTGTTGAGAAAGTGCTGGTTTCTAGTGATTTGTTAAAGAGTAATGAAATAGCAGGTGAAAGAACACAAGCTGCTCATTTGTACAATAATGGCGGGACTTGAGCCAGATTTTCTGATTTATTTTTAAGCGACTTAATAATCCTGGTGACTTCTGTGGGCTCGATTGGTGCAAGATAGGAGGAGGTTAGGAAATTCCCATCTAAGTAATCACTTGCTTGGGCATTGATACCTGGGATTTTACTGGCGAGATTTGATCTTCATTCCTTCAACAAACTGGTCGTATCCCATCGAAGCAGGGTGGCTCAAAAAGAAAAACAAAAGTTTTTTTTTTTTTTCAACAAGTCGGCCGTCTCCCACCGAGGCAGGGTGACTCAAAAAAGAAAGAAAATCCCCAAAAAGAAAATACTTTCATCATCATTCAACACTTTCACCACACTCACACATTATCACTGCTTTTGCAGAGGTGCTCAGAATACAACAGTTTAGAAGCATATACGTATAAAGATACACAACATATCCCTCCAAACTGCCAGTATCCCAAACCCCTCCTTTAAAGTACGTATCTCTTTTTAACCCTTTGACTGTTGCAACCCCCAATCCTGAGGTGTCTCCTGGTGTCGCAAAATTTAAAAAAAAAATTATTTTTTCTTATGAAATGATAGAGAATCTTTTCCCGATTGTAATGACACCAAAAAAACGAAATTTGATGGAAAACTGACGGAATTATGCTCTCCCGAAGTTAGCGACCTCTGCGCTGTTTACAAATCGGCGATTTCGCCCATTTTGAGCCCTATTTTCGGCTAATTCCATTGTTCCAGTCGCCCAAGCTCATAGCTATTTCTTTAGAACTCCATTTTATCTATCTAAAATAACATTTTCTTTGCTCATGAGTCATGTCTCCAGGCCCCTCTGATATTACTCTTGCTTTCTATTTTGAATTTTTATTTCAAACAAAAATAGAAGATTTACTATTATGCAGACTACTGCAATACTGTAATAAACTTTTATAAATAACATCAACCCATTCATGACTGCATATTAGAATGGCTAGTTGGACATTTATTGGACAATGGCATCATTTGTTTACTTTTGAACATTGGCAAAAATCAAACATTTCCCCTACTTTGAGCTCCATTTCTAGGTTCTTTTTATAGTAAAATCAATCAAAATCACTTCTATTTCTATAATATGTTTTCCCTTCTATCAAATGAGACCAAGAAAACGAGAATACAACCATAAATACTATACAAAAATAGACCACAAATTCGGCATTTTAATTAAAAAAAATGGTCGTTTTTTTTTTTTTCTCATTATGCACTGCTTGCTCCAGGATTTTTTTATATGGTGCACACTGACCACACAGACCCATTCTCTCACATGTGAGCCTACCAGCTTTCTCCTGCTTGATTTGAAGCCGCTAGAATTTATGAGTATATATACGTCAAAAATGGTACCTCGTGAGACGTATATATACGGCTGGGACAGTCAAAGGGTTAACTTTAGTAATGTATACAGGAGAAGGGGTTACTAGTCCCTTGCTCCCGGCATTTTAATCACCTCTTACAACATGCCTGGCTTACAGAAGAATTCTGTTCCACTACCCCATGGAGAAAAGATTTGATCCTATAGTTGAGAAAAAGTCATTTATCTTGTTAACTGTATCAATACACAGATAACCCCTACATAGAAGAGAGGAGCTTACGACGATGTTTTGGTCCAATTTGGACCAATACAAAGACATTTCGGTCCAAGTCAGACCAAAACGTTGTCATAAGCTCCTTTCTTCTATGTGCACGTTATTTTTTAATTGTTCCAGTCATGGTATTATGCCTTTTTTTGTTATTAACTGTATCAATAGGCTGTAGTTGTTTCATTTGGTTTAGTTAGGACAATATCCCTAGTTTTTTTAGTTTGTGGGTGCCCAGAATCTGAGAGTGTGTCTTCCAGGTCTTTTTTTATATCTCTTGGTGAATCTGTTGTAGTAGTACAATTGCTTAGCTTTTCTTATTAGTTTGATGAGGACAGATCCATAGTGTTTAATAATGCATATCTTTGTTTAAGCACTGTCTATATTGCTTTTCATATTGATGTTTCTTATCATTGGATTTAAGTATGCTGTTAGTTAGCCATAGGCAACCTAGCTGTTTATTCGTAATCTGTTTTGTTTTTATGGGACAGTGTCATATAGTCTAAGTAATTTGTTAAGAAATACTATGTCTATCCAATCATCGATGAGAGAATGGGTCTATTCAGTAAATGCGCACCATATAAAAAAATCCTACAGCACGCAGTGTGTGAGAAAAAAACTGCGACCATGTTTTTGGCTTAAAACAGCAACTTTGCGGTGCATTTTCTTATGGTTTTTGTAGTTATATTCGCGGTTTCTTAGTCTCATTTGATTGAATGGAAGATATATTACAGAAATAGAGATGATTTTAATTAGTTTCAGGACTGAAAGTAGCTTGAAATTGAGCTCAAAGGAGCAGAAATGTTCAATTTTTGCCGATGTTCCAGAGTACACAAATGACGTCATTTGTCCAGTACGCATCCAACTGGCTAGTCTGATACACATTTAGGAATGCACTGACATTATTTATACAGTTATTACAATAATGCAGTAGTCTGCATAAAAGTAAATTTTCTATTTTTTGTGTGAATAAAAATTCAAAATGAAAAGCAAGTATAATATAAGAGTGGCTTGGAGACATGTTTAAAGAGTAGAAGAAATGTTTATTTAGTGCCAGGAATGTCCACATTGTTATTCCAGACCCTATTTTCAAATTGGCAGTTGTTGAATTTTATGTGAAATTGACCAAATTACCAATTTCTGATCACTTTACTGGGTAGTTGAAATAGTTAAATAGGCTGTTCTTATACTCATTCGATAGAATAGAAGCAATACTAGCGAAGTAGCCACAAGTTTCATCGACTGTAACAGTGGAATTGGCCAAAAATAGAGCATAAAGTGGACAAAATTGCCAATGAGTAAATGTTGCCGAGACTGCTAACTTTGCGAGAACATAATTCCGTAAATTTTCCTTCAAATTTCATACTTTTGGTTTCAATACCTTTGGAAAAAAATTATCTATTATTTCATGATTTTTTTTTTCCTTTTCTTCCTTTTTTTTAATTGATCCTGGGAGTAAGTTTGCGACCCGGGATCACGACACTGAAAGGATTAAGTGATCCTCTCTGAAAATCTTTTGGTCACTGAGGACTCCTAAACACCTCTCCTTATCTGGTAGTGTTTAATATTTTATAAGAAAGTCTGCATTCTTCATTTGACAAGTAATTTTTCTGTCATAAACAGTTAACAGTACCTATCTACTGTAAATTTCACTGTTTACCTGTATATAACTTTTAACATTTCCTTAATTGACAGTGCCTTCATCTGTATTCTGAATGGAAGATACACCCTTTTGTAAAATTCATATTAAAGTTTTGTTTTAATTAATTATTATTATAATCAAAACCAAGCACTAAACTCACTAGGGTCATATGGCTTGTTTTAATTAAACTGAAATGTATTGAAAATATTGTTTTGAGCAAAATTAGATTCTGAAGGACAATACAGGATACATTGAAAAGATAGCCCTAATGTCAGTAATAAGTGTTGCATTTACCTATTTTTCAGAGAGTTAATCTGGTGAAGAAGTTGATATACCAAAATCAAGAAGTGCCAGAGAGTGAGAATGATGAGGAAGACAGAATAGAAAATAGCAGTGTTACTGTTAATAGCTGTGGATCTGCAACTGTTGAAATATCTGGAATTGACTTAGTCTCCGATTTCCACATTGGGACTAATCAGGCAAGTGTTTGTAAATATCTGCAAAAGATAGTGCCTTGACTTGCATTTAATAAGATTTCTCTCATGTACATATTTATATAAAGTACATGCAGATAACCGAGATTTTTAGATGCTGCTTAGAGCAGACTTGGCGCGTACACTGGCACTGGTTGGTTTTCATTTTTTCTTTTCTTTTTTTTTTTAACCTATTATTTATCATGGAATAGTAACTCAAAGAAGAAGACACATTTATTATCACTCATTTCTTTAGCTGCTTATCCAGAAGGCACAGACATGACCCAGTGATGCTAGACTTTTAAAGAGCAGGCTCTCTGCTTCCTCTCAAAAGCCGAAGTATTTTAAGCCACTTTCCCTGAATCTCTTCATAGATATTACTTTATATGCACAACACAAGTGCATATATACACCTCAGTCAAATGCTCAGGTGCATACATACTGAATGCTCATGTCCCTATCTCTCAGACCCTCTCCACATTGTTTTTTTGGTCATTCCTTATACATTCCCTAAACCAGAGGTGTCTAATATGATAGCAAATTTGTGGCAGCCAGATCATGTGTGTCCAGTAAATCTATTGAACATATTTGTGAAGGGACTTCATTCTTGTCTTTGTTTTTCAGTCTTTATTAGTGAATGCCACTAAGGTGCATACATTGCACTTTGCCTGTTGCCATGACTGGCAGGAGGCTGTAATGTCGTTAATATTAGTGTTTAATGTAAACTAACATAATACAGCCTCTCCTCACTTAACGATGGAGTTCTGTTCCTAAGACCACGTCAGTAAACTAATTCATTGCTAAGTGAGGAGCATACTATAATGTTAGTGGGTTTGTGTCGACCATCTCTGATATTTTTTTAATGTCACCTTTGCACCATTTATAACATTTCGGATATATTTTTAAACATTTATACAGTAGTTTACTGTAAATATATTGTATTAAATAGAATAGAGGAAATCAGCTCTTAATATATATTATTTAGGTATCCATAATGGTCAGAGAGCCCGTCGTCGGCAAACGAGTATATCGCTAAGTGAGGAGAGGCTGTATCTGGTTACAATAAACAGAGGTGCACTGGTAAGCAATCATATGGGTCATCAACAATTTTGAAACATAACCTGTAAATATGTTAGTCTAGAATGACTAGAAGAGTATGAAAATTGCATGCCACCCTCAGTCTAGAAACATTAGACATTCACTTAGCAGAATCATGCTTTTTTATTATTTTCTTTTTTCATTAAAGTTCTTCTCTAATGTCTTGTTTTCATTAAAGTAAATTTTCATAAACTGGAAACTACTCATTTCAAATATAAAGGTTTCAGCAGTAACCACCCACTATAAAAATGTTTTAATACCATATGGGTACAGTGTTAACTTGTCTAATAGTTTGGCTTTCGTTTTTGTTTGGAATATCATTGACTGAAGCTAAGGAACCTGGCATTGGATTCTGGAATTTAACCCCCCCATTACTATTTTATACAATGTTTTCAATATATTTGCTCTTGAGTGATCTTTTCTGTGAATATTTTCCATATTCAGCATGAGGAAGCACTGTCCTAAATGTGTATACCTTTAACTTTAGATATCTTTTAAGTTAAGAGCAGTGTATATGTTGTTACTACACAAAAGCAAAAGGCTGTCTTCATGTTATACATGATGGTGTGGCAGTCTTTCCATGATTTTACATTATTGTATATGAAATCCCTTGCAATTAAAAAGTAATACTCTATTTTTGTCTTGACCACAGATGAAGCTTGGTAATGCAAACCCAAAAACAACACCCACCAAAAGTGTAGCTGAAAAATATTCAGAAGATGAGGAAGAAGAGAAGATAGATAAAGAAAAATTAGACGAGCTTGGCATTCATAATAAAAAGGATTTGTATCGCTCTTTAAAAAAGAGCTCCTTCCAGATAATGAAGAAAAGCCATTTGATGAAACTAAAACAAGCTAGAGATGCAAAAAAACAGAAAAAAGCTCAGATTAAGGCAAATAATCGCAAACAAAAATTGAAAAAAAAGAAAAGAGACACAGGCGACCACCATTAAAGAACAAGGGGCTTAGTCTTAGCGGCACATGTATTTTCAAACATTTTCTAAAAAAAAATTTAAAAATTTTAACCCTTATATTTTCAATTCATTTCTGAAAAAAATTGTTGAAAAAATTAAATTTATAAAATATTTACTTCAACTTCACCCCCCCCCCCCCTCCTCTCTCTTCTCTGTCTGTCTCTCCCCGTCTGTCTCTCTGTCTGTCCTCTGTCTGTCCCCTCTCTGTCTGTCTGTCTCTCTGTCTGTCTGTCTGTCTCCTGTCTGTCTCTCTTGTCTGTCTCTTTTCTGTCTGTCCCCTCTCTCTCTTCTCTCTCTCCTCCCCTCTCTTCTGCCCTGTCTTTTTTTTTTTTTTTTTTTTTTTTTTTTTACACAGGGTTTGAAAGGTTAAGGACCCTAGCTTTATGACAAGCTTTTTTACAGGTTAAGGATTCCCTAACTTTTTTGGGCAAGCTAGAGCTGTTCCTACATCAGCTCTTTGAAAGTTTTTTATTTTTTGGGGAACATACAAGTAGGGAAACAGGATGAATTTGGAGCCTCTGGGGGCCACTTTTTTCTTTTGATAAAGCTTATCCCGTTGAATCTTTTTCTGTACGAATGTTTCCATACTGAGTCATCCGGGTAGTAGATCTCAGATGGAGTGATGTTCTGGAAAGGGTACGCCAGAGTGAAGTTGCTGCTTTCTGCCTCTTGGGGCAAAAATTTTTTCACGCGCCCTCAAGGGGATCCAAGTGTGGTATTTTGACAATATTCCCTTGACATAACATTTAAGGCCCCCACATCCCCCTAGTTAAAGGCCCTGCTGAAATACAGATCTACCAGAGGGGTCCAGGCGAGAGATGAACTCTTGCTCTGTTCTCTACTCGTCAAGCAGTCGCAGATGAGAGGGGGGGCAGGCAAACCAAAAAAGGGAGCATACCAAGTGTGAGCGTATTTGTGCCCGAAAGGGATCTTGCAACCCACTGTCAACGATGCGAGATACGGCGAAGTGCTGTAACTTCCGGTCCCTTTTTTTTTGCAAGATTTACAAATGGTTTTTCATGGTTGTTTGGAGTCAAATTTCACCCCAAGGATATCAACTTCTTTCCAGGGCCAACATCGTCCCATTTATCCTTACTACTGCGCCAGCATTCACATTTGGCCAAGACGAAAATCATTGCGTTTTTTAGGTGCAAATGTTTCTTGCCATTATTTTCCCCCCCCGCTGATATAGCTCTCAGCTGGGGATTGATGTAGCTTAGAGCAGCTGGGATTTCTTCTCTTTGGGAAAATAATGTCATGTACAGCGTTGAATCATGTGATTCTGGGATAGATAAGAAGGGCGTTTTAATAGAAATTTTCCCTAACATGGACCCAGCACACTTCCTTGTGGGGAAAGCTTGCCCCAATAGGTGCCCTTTCTCTTCCCTCTCTCTCCCTCTTCTCTCCCTCCTCTTCCCTCCTCTCTCCCCCTCCTCCTCTCTCCCTCTCTCTCCCCTCCTCCCCCCCTCTCTCCCTCTCTCTCCCCTCTCTCTCTCCCTCTCTCTCTCCCCTCCTTCCCTCTCTCTCTCCCTCTCTCTCCCCCCTCTCTCTCCCCCTCTCTCCTCTCTCTCTCTCCGCTCTCTCTCACTTCTCTCTCTCCCTCTCTCTCTTCTCCCTCTCTCTTCTCCTCGCCCTCTCTCTCTCTCTCCCTCTCTCTCTCTCTCCTCTTCTCTCTCCCCTTCTCTCTCTCTCTCCCTCTCTCTCTCTCTCTCTCTCTCCCCCTCTCTCTCTCCACCTCTCTCCCCCTCTCTCTCTCCCCTCTCTCTCCTCCCCTCCTCTTCTCCCCCACTCTCTCTGTTCCCCCTCCCTCTCTCTCCCTCTCTCTCTCCCCTCTCTCTCTTCCCCTTTCTCTCTCTTCTCTCTCTCTCCTCTCTTCTCTCTCTCTCTCTCTCAAAGTAGCTTCAAGAGCCTTTTCCTACCTTTTGTAAGTACATGCTTCTTTTTTTTTTTTAACAAGTCATCCGTTCTCCCACCGAGCCAGGAGTGACCCAGGAAGAAGAAAGAAAAATCCCCAAAAGAAAAATACTTTCAACATCATTCAACACTTTCACCTCATTCACATACCAATCCACTGTTTTTGAAGAGGTGCTCAGAACACAACAACTTAGAAGCATTACGTATAATGATACACAACATTATCCCTCCAAACCGCCCAATATCTGTAACCCTCCTTTAGAGTGCAGGCATTAATGCTTCTCCATTTCCAGGACTTGAGTCCATCTATACAATTAATAACATGTTTCCCTGAAATCCTTCACTAAATATTACCCTGCTCACACAGCAACAGATCGTTAGGTCCCAAATACATTCGTCTCCATTCACTTCTCAAACCGCTCCTCACACGCCTGCTGGATGTCAAGCCCTTGCCACAAAACCTCCTTAACCCTTCCAACCTTTTTCGAAGACGACCCCTACCCCGCCTTCCTTTCCCTACAGATTTAAACGCTGTCTCCATGTCATTCTACTTTGATCATCTCTCTAAAGACCCAAACCACCTCAACAAAAAACCCTCTTCAGCCCTATGACTAATACTTTTATTAACGTCCACACCTCCTATTTCCTCCACTCGAATTTTTCTGCATAATATTTAACACCACACTCATTGCCTTAGACAGGACAATCTCCACTTGCCTCCAAACCCTCCTCGCTGCTGCGCACAACCCAAGCTTCACACCATTCATTTAAGAGTGTTGGTCACTACTTTCATACATTCCTTCTTTGCCTCCATAGATAAAGTTTTTTCTTCCACAGTAACCCCAATGCACCACTCCCTTTTTTCCCTCTCAATTCTATGATTAAACCTCATCTTCTAAATCCATCGCGACATGTCAGCTTCCCAAGTATCTAAAAACATTTCACTTCTTCCATACTCCTCCCCAAGTTGATATCCAATTTTTCTTTAAATCTTTGATCCCTCAATCCACATTACTCTTTTCTATTGTTCATTTACACTTTCTACCTTTACTCACACTTCCAAAACTCGTCCCTAACCTTTGCAAATTTTCTGTAGAATCTCCCATAAGCACAAGTATCATCAGCAAGATAGCAACTGTGTCAATTCCCGTTTTGTATTTGATTCCCCTTAATTTAATCCCACCCCTCTTCCCGATACACCCTAGCATTTTTACTTCTTTACAACCCCTCTATAAATATATTAAACATCCATGATGACATTCATCTTCCCTATCTAAGACTACTTTATGGGGTAGTAGTCTCCTCTTCCTCACACCATAACCTGAGCCTCGTTATCTCATAAAAACTCTTTCAGCATTAGTAAAACTTACACATTTCCATATACAGTGGACCCCCGCTTACGATCACCTCCAAATGCCGACCAATTATTGTAAGTGTATTTATGTAAGTGCGATTGTAGTGTATGTTTTGGGGGTCTGAATGGGACTAATTATTCCACAATATTCCTTATGGGAAAAATCTGCGTCAGTTACTGGCACCTGAAACATACTACTTGGAATGAAAAAGTTCGTTACCGGGGGTCCCACTGTATGTACTTGCAACATCTGCCAATTTCTCCCTATCCACTCTATCATATGCCTTTTCTAAATCCATAAATGCCAATAAAACTTCCCTACCTTTATCTAAATGCTGTTCACTATATATGCTTCAATGTTAACACTTGATCTACTACATCCCCTACCCACTCTTAAAACTCCTTGCCTCATCTGCAACCTACATTCTGTCCTTACTTAATTCGTTCAATTATAAACCCTACCATACACATTTTCCTCGTATAATCAGTGAACTTATTCTCTATAATTTTTACAATCTCTTTTGTCCCCCCTTTCCCTTTATATAAGGGGACTATACTTGCTCTCTGCCAGTCCTAGGTACCTTCCCCTCTTTCTTACATTTATTAAACAAAAATACCAACCACTCCAACACTATTTCCCCCCCCCCCCTGCTTTTAACATTTCTGTCATGATCCTGTCAGTTCCAGCTGCTTTACCCCCTTTCATTCTACGTAATGCCTCACGCACCTCCCCCACACTCGCATCCTGTTCTTCTTCACTCCTAAAAGATGGTATACCTCCCTGGCCAGTGCATGAAATTACCGCCTCCCTTTCTTCGTCAACATTTAAAAGTTCCTCAAAATATTCTCACCATCTACATTCTCTATATTTTCTTTTGTACCAATTGTCTTTCATTAGTCTATTAGAAAATGCTCTTCAGCTGCTTATTCTCTTACTTTAAAAGCATTTTTAGTTGCCCCTTTTCATATGTATGGCTTAGGGAGAAAGGATTCTTTTCCACTTCCTCACAGAGATGAAAGGAAATAAATAATAACAACTATTAAAAAACAGAAGAAAACACAGATGGTTGTGTATACATATATGTGTACATGCATGTATATCGTGACTCAAGTGGAAATAGATGTGGCAACATGCTCCTGTTATCTTGCTGTTTGTGAGAAAATGAAAAGACACCAGAAATCCTACCGTTGTGTAAAATTGTAGGTTTTCATTTCACACACATTTGATAGGACAGTAGTACCTCCCTGGGTGGTTGGTGTCTAACAGCCTATTACCATAAATCTATCCTCACCCCCATGAAGCCATATAGGCTATGACGTCGATTTAAGCCGTAATAAACGACTAAGTGAATAAATGGATAGATGAACAGGGAATTGAACCATGGTACTAGTATTGGCAGGTCCAGCACTTGAACACTGAGCTACGGAGCTTCTAACAGGAAAGTTTCACAGCACTGTGACCGAAGTGTTCTTTCCCATCAGTGCTGTATGATCCTTGCAGGTTTAGTGCTTAGTTTTGATTGAAGTAATAATAAAAACTGACCTTTCCTACAGCACCAGTGGTTTTCACAGTAAATCTATCCTCACCCCATGAAAGCCACATAATCTATGAACTCATAAATGACTTAAAATGAATTAACAGAGATGGCTGGTGTTTAAAAAAAAAAAAATGATACACAGTGGGACTTGTCACAGTTACTTTTTGCTGATGACACCACTCTTGGGAGA